ATATCTTTTTAGATAATATCGATGATTGTAATGCTGTATTTGAAGCTATTAGATCTATCATAATTAATTTTAAACTTCAGTTTTAATATTGTATTAAATACGGTATGAAATATATATGATATAATTTTCTATGCATTACAACTATAATTTCTAATTTGTTTGTTATATTAGATAATTGTAAAAATTGCTTTAAGTACCATATACAAAAACCTTGTAAACATAATGTCAAATAATACTTAATTTAATTATATTCAATAATTGTCCATATAGAAATAAATAGCAAAAAGAATATTATGTTTTAATGTGAGTATTTTGAGTTATTAATATACTTTGAAAAATAAATACAAAATTTAGGGAAAACATAAAATTAATTATGCTAACATTATAATCGATTTTATATTATATTATGATAATCATTAATTGTTAATGATAATTTACATGAAATGAAAGTAATTTTCAATCCCTAGTAAAAGTTAAATAATTCGACATTATCAAATACAAAAGCTATATTTTGTATTATTTATATTGGTTAAAAACAACAATAGTTAATATTCTATGATGGGTGACAAACAAACGAGATTTCAAATTAATACCGAACACATTCTACCACCAGAACTGGTCATCTCTGGCGCCGGCAGTGATCTCTACAGAATTGGTTTATCACAATATAATACACATAACAGCCATAGAAACACATTTCGGAAACCCATAGTTGTATTGATTGGATTAATAATATTAGCGATTCGTTGCGTTTGTATGATAACAATGGGTGAACAAAATGACAGGTTTTATGTGGTTTGGGGTGATTTCGGACATTTTATGGGTGTCCGCATACAAACAAATATAACAATCTTGTTGGGTATGACACAGGCTTTGTGTTCACAATTATTGCAGTTTTCTAACTACATGTCGGGTATAAAACCCAATGATTTGCGTGTATTTCAAGTGATGTCGGGTTTGATTGCACCCAAAAGTATTGGTCTCAACGATAGGGATGTGGTGTTGAAGTTAAGGCAATAATACAGTTTTCTAACTACATGTCGGGTATAAAACCCAATGATTTGCGTGTATTTCAAGTGATGTCGGGTTTGATTGCACCCAAAAGTATTGGTCTCAACGATAGGGATGTGGTGTTGAAGTTAAGGCAAGTTTTTAACAAAACCTTACTTTATTCTAAATATATATTAATTTGTTGTCGATTACAAACATTTTTAATTGTAGTTTTGATATATTATACTAACTTCTCTACCATAGACTTTATTATTTATGGTATCCCTCACTATATAATTTGTCTGTTTGTTACAGATTTTGCTTATGAAATAATGTTTTGGCAATTTATTTATTACTATTTAATCACATATTATTTGAATATTAAATTAAAAATATTCAATTTTAACTTTAAAACACTTTTAACTATTACTCAAAAGAAAAAGACAACAAAACTATTTAAATTAAATATACTTTCAATGAGAGAATTGATTACAATCTACGATGATATCAATGAATACAATGATATTTATTGGTCTAAATATTTATTAATTATTTGGTTTACATTTAGTTTTGCCATATCGACTATGACTTACCTCGTGTTTTTTAGTAACACTAATATATTTACTATAACTGCATGTTTAATGCTTTTAATTGTATTTACATTAATCCTGATGTTTATAATCCGTATTTCTTCACTCATTTATATCGAAGCGAATAATTCATACAAATTATTGAATTTAATATTTTGTGAAAATGAGTCCGTAATTCATATTTCTTTAAAAATAAAGGTTAGTTTAAACTTTAAACAAAATTTTTATATTATTTTGAATATTTATTTAATAATAATATTGGTATTTTATAGTTATTAACACTAATTGAAAGAATTGGTACAAAAAGAGTGGGTTTTTATTGTTGGAAATTATTTATTATAAACACTTTCAGAGGATATGAGGTTTGAGTAAATGAATATTGATAAATAAATTTATAATTATTTTATTTCAGATAATCTCAATGATTGTGATGTTGTATTTAAAACTACTTCATTAATTTAAAGATTCAATATTTAGAATTTAGAATAATTAAAAATTCAGATAATATGTAAAATGTTTGGTCACACATAACGTATTTGTAACTCAAAATTATAATCATATTAAATTCAACTCACCATTTACAAATTTATTATGATAAATACATAAATGTATATTTTCTAACATAATAATACTGTTAATTCCATACTAATTTATTTTATAAATAATAAATGTATTTATTTATTAAAATACTATATGTGCAAAATTACTTTTTAAACAATCAGTGATTTAGTGTACAGATGAGCTAGGACATTTTTGCAGGTTTTGAGTTACAATTGAATATTATACACATTGGATCCATTGAATGTATGAATAGTATATTAATTTAATAAAATATGGTTATATTCCTGTACCTGTCTTAATTGATATAATCTATTGATATTATGACCATATGCAATTGTTTCCCTAAGTTTGATAGCAATTGACTGATTTTATGTTGATTTTAAGTATTGCATGCATTTTATGCTAATTATCTCATAACAATTTGCAAATGTAAGCAATTATATATGTATTTTTGACTTATGATTCTCACTTATCAATGGTAAATTTGATAATTTATGGAATTACTATTTTTTGCTGTTTATTGCCATGTATAGTTTTTATATTGCGTGAATAATATTATATTATTAATATACCAATGTAAATGTTATGTATTTATCATTTTAGGAGCAAAACATTTGTATGTGCCCAATGCACTATTTTCTAATTATATAAGTCACACAATGTAGCAAAATATAAAGTATATTACAATTACATGTAGTGTGAGTATTCAATTAATGAACACATTTTTATTAAGAATATCAATTATAGTATTTTCGGACTACATATCAATATAATAAATTTACGGATTATTATTGCATAGAATTAAAAATATCAAAAATAAATATAAAGTTACATTGTAACTAATAAAAGTTGATAGTGCATTAAAGTTTAATAATGATATTTGAACCGGATAAAAGTAATTTTCATCCCAATCATATCCTACCACCAGAACTGGTGATCTCTGGCTGTGGGAGTGATCTCTACAGAATTGGTTTATCACAATATAATACACATAACAGCCATAGAAACACATTTCGGAGACCAATACTTATATTCATTATAACTTTAATACAAGCGATTCGTTCCGTATGTATGATAACAATGGGTGAACAAAATGACCGGTTTTATATGATTTGGGGTGACTATGGACATTTTATGGAAATCCGGATACAAACAAATATAGCAATTTTATTAAGCATGATACAATGTTTGTGTTCACAATTAATACAGTTTTCTAACTACATGTCGGGTATAAAACCCAATGATTTGCGTGTATTTCAAGTGATGTCGGGTTTGATTGCACCCAAAAGTATTGGTCTCAACGATAGGGATGTGGTGTTGAAGTTAAGGGAAGTTTTTCGTAAAACATTAATTGTTTGTAATTTTTCAGAAAAATGTTTTATAATACAATCATGTTTAGTTGTATTTTTGAGTTACTATTCTAAATTCACCATAATCGATTTAATAATATTTGGTATATCACATACTATTCTCTGGATATTGATGACCATGAACGCTTATAATGTAATGCTTTGGCAATTTGTTTATTATTATTTAATAACTTATTATTTGGAGATAAAATTAAAAGCTAGAAATGAAGAGTTGATTAGTATACTAAAACATAGTAACATCAAAAATATATATTACCATCGTATATTTAAACAATTTAATAAAATCTATGTTGAAATTTATGAATACAATAATATTTATTGGTCTAAATATTTGTTTTTGATTTGGTTTGTATTGAGTTGTCTCATATCAACGGTTACATATCTCGTGTTTTTTGGTGACAGCAATATATTTACTAAAATAGGATTTTCAATGTTTTTGCTGTGCTTTACACTAATCCTGATGTTTATAATCCGTATTTCTTCACTCATTTATATCGAAGCGAATAATTCATACAATTTATTAAATTCAATATTTTGCGTTAAAAATGATAAAATTATTATTCCTATTAAACTAAAGGTTAATATTTACAGATAATAATTACTAAATTATAATATAATTTGAATTATATTTATAGTTATTAACACTAATTGAAAGAATTGGTACAAAAAGAATGGGTTTTTATTGTTGGAAATTATTTATTATAAACACTTTGAGAGGATATGAGGTCTGATTTGTTAGTTATTTTGAATTATTATTAATTATGAATTTCATTTTATTTTAGATAATCTCGATGATTGTTATGCTATATTTAAAACTGTTGGATTTATCATAAACTATTCTGGATGTTGGATTCTTCAATAGCTACTATTAACATCACTAATATATTTGTAGTACATTTGTAGTATATTTAATGCCATATCACTTAATTAAAATGTTTAAACCGATCGTTAAATCCAAACGTTTTAATCTGTGATAACATCTCAACGAATCCAATGTCTGGCCATTGAGTGGTGTGTAGTTTGACATCAAATTAAGTGATAATCGTTGCAATTGTTTGCAGTTTAGGCCAATTGTACTCAAACACCGATTCAATGAGTTCTGGCCATTGATTACATCAAATCATATAATATCTTATATTACGTGTCTTTCACTCAATTTTTAGTCACAAATATTTAATGAATTTAAAATTATATTTTTAATAATAATTTATTTAAAAAGTTATTTTATAATTATTATTGTTCTAAGAATAGTTACATTTTAGTTATTACATAAGTGTTTGAAATGAATTTTTAAACACAAAAATTATATTAACTTATAATTAAGAATCAAAATTAAATTCAAATAATTTTCAAAAATATTACTACAAATAAAGTTAGAGAAATTAATTAACAAAAAATTTAACAGAAAGTAATTTATAATTCAGAAAAAATTGCATTTAATTAACATTTAAAGCGTTTTTATGTTAAAGCATTAAAGCATTTAAAGCACTTATGAATAAAACTTCTGAATAGTGTTAACACGGGTTTCAATTGTCTTGAGTTTAGGACATGTGGTCAACAGATCACTGAAACCATTACCCGAGAGACGATTGGTTCTATTGAATTCAATGACCAGTGTTTGCAGCGCCGGTAGTCTTGAGATCTGTGCCAAACACTCGCGAGTAATAATAGAGGTTTTGATGCTTAGATAATGAAGTCTTAAATAATTTTGATCCATATTTTGAAACAAATTTAAGTCAATTCGCGGAAAATTCAGCTCTAAATGCGTTAATCTCTTGCAGTCTTTCAACGAATCCAACCAACCATTAGCGACGGCACCGATGAATGTTAAATGCAATCGTTTTAATTGCGAGTAGAGTCCCAACGAATCCAATGTTTGTGTTATTGTTTCGGTAGGATTTGAATACACAGTGAGTGACAATCGTTTCAATTGTTTGCAATTCCCAGCAATTGTAAGCAGAGAGTCGTTCAATGAGATCTGGCCATCGGTTAGCTTTATATTGACTATCAATTCTCGTAATAGCGGTAATCGTGACAATTGTCCGCACAGTTCGCCGAACTCCTGAGTGTTGAGTATTGTATTCCCGACGATCAGACTCTTAAGAGACTGATTGTGTGCCACAAATGTAGACAATCGGTGCAAATAGGGATGTAAATAGAAATTGAATTCAAATTCATGGAAATCCTCATTGAATTCAAATGGATCCAAATCCTCAGCGAAGAGCTGATCGTTTGCGGTTAAGATGTCGTTAAATAATTGGATCCGTAATCGAGACAATCGGTGGCAATAACTGAGTGCTAATTGATTGTAATAGGAGTCGATGTCACCAATTCTTGTGATCAATGGTCCGAATGAACGCATTGTTTGCGAATTATTTTCCCATAAATTGCAGTAAATTTCCCGCAAATGTCGGCATTTATTTCGAAATGTGTTCAACACTTCGGGAATGTGTCCCTCATATCCAGTGGTTATTCCTCTGCAGTCAATGCATTGAATATTTGAACACTTGATGGCAAATGTGGCCAACATTTGTGAGTCAATTGTCTTCTCATTTGTCAATAATCTCTGAATGAATCGATCGCTAAGAATGATGTCCACAACACTCTCGAAGACAGTCCTCTGGATCTGTTTGGACACACATTCGAATCGAAATCGGTCTTCAAATGAGAGATGAGATAACAAGAGTCCAAACATGTCATCACCGAATCGATCCAAAGAGTCTTTGGCATAGATTTGTGTCTAAATGTGAGATAAAAATAATTAATTCAATAAACAATTGATTTTATGGTAAATACCTGTTGAATGTCCTCCTCTTCGCCGTCATCTGTGGTCACGAGTGATATCTTCTTGTGTTTCATGTGATGCGCCATATCTTGGGATCAAATGAAGTGATGAAATGAATGGTTTGATTGTAAACTCAAATACAAATCAAATGTTATTTATAATAGTTTTGAATCACTTTTTAATTACACATTAATTACGTCTCAAATATAGACTTCAAATGAATTTATTTTATATCACTTTTTAATTCAATTATTCACTCGTTATGTGTTTTATATTCAATTTTATTGATTAAATGTTAAAAATTTATTTAATTTCTATATTTTTAATCAGTTAAACATAACATATTCTGCATTGCATTATATGTTTCTAAATAGTTTTCAATACTTATAGCGAAAGTTGTCTGTATTGAGTGACAACGCATAAGAAACGAATACAATTATAAATACAATCAATATTTGGTATAATATAACAATTAAATCTCAATATACTCTCACTATTCAGTCAACTCTTGGCCACAGATTTAACATTAATTAAAAATTTTTATTTTTAAATAACAAACATTTAATGCTATAGAAATTATTTTAACAATTATTAAATAAATATAATATAAAATAACTTATTAAATTTTAGAATTATATTTTTGATAATAATTTACTTAAAAAGTTATTTTTAATAATGAACATTTCATTTATTACAATCATATTTAGACACAAAATATTACATCAATTTATAATTAAGAATCAAAATCAAATTATTTTCAAAAATATTACTACAAATAAAGTCTGAAAAATTAATTAACAAAAAAGTAATTTATAATAAACAGAAAGAAATTGCATTTAATTAATATTTAAAGCATTTTTACGAAAATAAAACTTCGAAATATTGTTTAAATGGATTTCAATTGTCTTGAGTTTAGGACATGTTGTAAACAGATCACTGAAACCATTACCAGACAGGCGTTCGCTTCTACTGAAGTAAATGACAAGCGTTTGCAGCGCCGGTAGTCTTGAGATGTGTGACAAACAATCGCTGGTAATAACAGTGGTTTTGAAGCATAGATAATGAAGACTTAAATAATTTTTATCCACATTTTGAAACAAATTTATGTCAATTCGCGGCAAATCCAGCACTAAATGTGTTAATCTCTTGCAGTGTTTCAACGGATCCAACAAACCATTAGCGACGGCACCGATGAGTGTTAAATGGAATCGTTTTAATTGCGGGTAAAATCCAAACGAATCCAATGTCTGCGCTATTGCTGTGGCATTTGAGTATACAGTGAGTGACAATCGTTTTAATTGTTTGCAATTAACACTAATTGTCAGCAAAGAGTCGTTCAATGAGTTCTGGCCATCGGTTAGTCTTATATTGAGTGTCAAATCCCGTAATTGCGGTAATCGTGACAATTGTCCGCACAATTCGCCGAACACTTGAGTGTTGAGTATTGTATTCCTGACCACAAAACTCTTGAGGCACTGATTGTGTGCCACAAATTCAGACAATCGGTGCAAATAGTTGTGTAAATAGTATTTGACTTCAAATGTATGCAAATTCTTTGCTGAAAGGTTGAGCTGTTCCGGAATTGACCAGAAGATGTAGTCAAATGAATTGACACACAATTCAAACGATCGCTGCCAACAATATGAGTCGATGCCATCGATTCGGGTGACCAGTGGTCGCAATGACAGCACTGTTTGTCCGCTAATTCTCCAATAATTCCGATAAAATTCCTTTAAATGCCGGCAATTGTCTCGAAATGTGTTCAACACTTCGGGAATGCGTTTCTCATATTTTCTGGTCATTCCTCTTAAGTCAATGCATTGAATATTTGAACACTTGATGGCAATTGTGGCCAACATTTGTGCGTCAATTGTCTTCTCATTTGTCAATAATCTCTTAATAAATCCATCGCTAAGTCTGATGTCGACAATACTCCCGAAGACTGTCCTCTGGAACTGTTTTGATACACATTCGCATCGAAATCGGTCTTCGGATGAGAGATAGGATAACAACAGTCCAAACATGTCATCACCGAATCGATCCAAAGAGTCTTTGCCATAGATTTGTGGCTAAATGTGAGACAAAAACAATTAATTCAATAAACAATTGATTTTATGGTAAATACCTGTTGTCTGTCCTCCTCTTCGCCGTCATCTGTGGCCTCGAGTGATATCTTCTTGTGTTTCATGTGATGCGCCATATCTTGGGATCAAATAAAGTGATGAAATGAATGGTTTAGTTATGAATTCAAATACAAATCAAATGTAATTAACTTTTGATTCAAAAGTTTTGAATCACTTTTTAATTAAACATTAATTACGTCTCAAATATAGACTTCAAATGAATTGATTTTATATCACTTTTCAATTCAATTATTCATTCGTTTTGTGTTTTATATTCAAATTTATTGATTAATTGCTAAAAATGTATTTAATTTCTTAATTTTTTAATCAATTAAAAGCATAACATATTCTGCATTGCATTATATGTTTACAAATAGTTTGAAAATGTTTGCAATACTTATAGCGAAAGTTGTCTGTATTTAGTAACAAAGCATAAGAAATGAATACAATTTTAAATACAATCAATATTTGGTATAATATAACAAATTAAATCTCAATATAATTTCACTTTTCAGTCAACTCTTGGCCACAGATTTAACATTAATTACAAAAATTGTATTTTTAAATAACAAACCTTTAAATCGATAGAAATTATTTTAACTATTATAAAATAAATAGAATATAATGTAACTTATTACATTTTATAATTATAATTTTGATAATAATTTACTTAAAGTTATTTTATAATTTTAATTGATATCAGAAATAGTGAATACATTTATTACAATCATATTTAGACAAAACATTATAAATCAAAATTAAATTCAAATTATTATCAAAAATAATATTACAAAATAAAGTTAGAAAAAATTATAAACAATTAACAGAAAGTAATTTATAATAAACAGAAAGAAATTGCATTTAATTAATATTTATGGCATTTTGAATAAGACTTCGAGACATTGTTTAAATGGGTTTCAATAGTCTTGAGTTTAGGACATGTGGTCAACAGATCACCGAAACCATTACCGGACAGGCGTTCGCTTCTATTGAAGTGAATGACAAGTGTTTGCAGCGCCGGTAATCTTGAGATGTGTGCCAAACACTCGCGAGTAATAACAGTGGTTCTGATCCACAGATAATGAAGTCTTAGATAATTTTTATCCAAATTTTCAAACAAATTGATGTCAATTCGCGGCAAATCCAGCTCTAAATGCGTTAATCTCTTGCAGTGTTTCAACGGATCCAACAAAACGTTAGCGACGGCACCGATGAGTGTTAAATGCAATCGTTTTAATTGCGGGTAAAGTCTTAACGAACCCAATGTTTGCACTATTGTTTCCGTAGGTTTTGTGTACAAAGTGAGTGACAATCGCTTCAATTGTTTGCAATTCACGGCAATTGTACGCAAAGACGAGTCCAATGAGTTCTGGCCATCGGTTAGCCTTATATTGAGTGTCAAATCCCGTAATAGCGGTAATCGTGACAATTGTCCGCACAATTCGACGAACTCCTGAGTGTTGAGCTCTGTATTCCTGATGATAAGACTATTGAGACACTGATTGTGTGCCACAAATGTAGACAATCGGTGCAAATAGTCGTGTAAATAGTTGTTTAAATATTTGTGTGAATAGTGTTTGACTTCGAGTTTATGCAAATTCTTAACGAAGAGCTGATCCGGATGTGAACGAAAAATGTCGTCAAATGATTTGACACATAAATGAGACAAACGGTGGCAACGAATGAGAGGTAAAGGATAGTCATAAGACCCGACGTCACCGATTCGGGTGACCAGTGGTCCCAATGAACCCATTGTTAATCCGCTATATCGCCATAAATTGCAGTAAATATCCCGCAAATGCCAGCAATTGTCTTGAAATGTGTTCAACACTTCGGGAATGTGACACTCGTATCCAATGGTTATTCCTCTGCAGTCAATGCATTCAATGTTTGGACACTTGATGGCAATTGTGGCCAACATTTTGGTGTCAATTCTCTTCTTATTTGTCAGTAATCTATGAATAAATCCATCGCTAAGAATGATGTCCTCAACACTCCCAAAGATAATCCTCCGGAACTGTTTGGACACACATTCGCATCGAAATCGGTCTTCAAGTAAGAGATAGGATAACAACAGTCCAAACATGTCATCACCGAATCGATCCAAAGAGTCTTTGGCATAGATTTGTGTCTAAATGTGAGACAAAAACAATTAATTCAATAAACAATTGATTTTATGGTAAATACCAGTTGTCTGTCCTCCTCTTCGCTGTCATCTGTGGTCACGAGTGATATCTTCTTGTGTTTCATGTGATGCGCCATATCTTGGGATCAAATAAAGTGATGAAATGAATGGTTTGGTTATGAATTCAAATACAAATCAAATTGTAATTAACTTTTGAATCACTTTTTAATTAAACATTAATTACGTCTCAAATATAGACTTCAAATGAATGTCTTTTATATCACTTTTTAATTCAATTATTCACTCGTTTTGTGTTTTATTTACTAATTCATTGATTAAATGCCAAAAATTTATTTAATTTTTATATTTTTAATGAATTAAAAGTATAACCTATTCTGCATTGCATTATATGTTTATAAATAGTTTGCAATACTTATAGCGAAAGTTGTCTGTATTGAGTGACAACGCATAGCAAACGAATACAGGGATCGCCGAGCATTGTTCCCATACCTGGGCGCTGACATTATGATAACATGTGTGGGTTGCTGAGCAACACAATACAACTTTTGTTGAAAACCGTTGAAGACAGCAAAAGTTGTATTGTGTTGCTCAGCAACCCACACATGTTATCATAATGTCAGCGCCCAGGTATGGGAACTATGCTCGGCGATCCCTGTACAATTATAAATACAATCAATATTTGGTATAATATAACAAATTAAATATATTTAAATTAAATATACTCTCACTATTCAGTCAACTCTTGGCCACAGATTTAACATTAATTACAAAAATTATATTTTTAAATAACATACATTTAAATCGATACAAATTATTTTAACCATTATAAAACAAATATAATATAATGTAAATTATTCAATTTTAGAATTGTAAGTTTGATAATAATTTACTTAAAGTTATTTAATAATTTTAATTGATATCAGAAATAGTGAATTCATTTATTACAAACAATAATCATATTTATACGCAAAACATTACATCAATTTATACTTAAAAATCAAAATTAAATTCAAATTACTATCAAAAATAATATTACAAATAAAGTTAGAAAAAATTATAAACAATTAACAGAAAGTAATTACATTTAATTAATATTTATAGCATTTATGAATAATACTTCGAAACATTGTTTAATTGGGTTTCAATAGTCTTGAGTTTAGGACATGTGGTCAACAGATCACTGAAACTATTACTCGACAGACAAATGCTAACATTGAATTTAATGACAAGTATTTGCAACGCCGGTAGTCTAGAGACGTTATGCAAACACTTGCGAGTAATGACAGCGGTTTTGATGCATAAATAATGAAGTCTTAAATAATTTTTATCCACATTTTGAAACAAATTTATGTCAATTCGCGGCAAATCCAGCTCTAAATGCGTTAATCTCTTGCAGTGTTTCAACGGATCCAATAAAACGTTAGCGACGGCACCGACGAGTCTTAAATGCAATCGTTTTAATTGCGGGTAAAATTTTAACAAATCCAATGTCTGTACTATTGTTTCGGTAGGTTTTGAGTACACAGTGAGTGACAATCGTTTCAATTGTTTGCAGTTTAGACTAATTGTGCGCAAAGAGTCGTTCAATGAGTTCTGGCCATCGGTTAGCCTTATATTGAGTGTCAAATCCCGTAATTGCGGTAATTGTGACAAATGTCCGCACAATCCGACGAACTCCTGAGTGTTGAGAATTGTATTCCTGACCACAAAACTCTTGAGGCACTGATTGTGTGCCACAAATTCAAACAATCGGTGCAAATAGCGGTCCAAATAGTATTTTACTTCAAATGTATGCAAATTACTAGCGAAGAGCTCATCCGTTTGTGAGCAGAAAATGTCGTCAAATGATTTGACCCGTAATCGAGACAATCGGTCGCAATAAATGAGAGAAAGAGGGATATTATAAGAGTCGATGTCACCGATTCGGGTGACCAGTGGTCCGAATGACCGCATTGTTTGTACGCTATGTCCCCAAAAATGGCAATAAATTTGACTTAAATGCCGGCAATTGTCACGAAATGTGTGCAACACTTCCGGAATGTGTTTCACATATCCATTGGTTATTCCTCTGCAGTCAATGGTTTGAATGTTTGAACACTTGATGGCAATTGTGGCCAACATTTGTGCGCCGATTGTCTTCTTATTTGTCAGTAATTTATGCATAAATCGATCGCTAAGAGTGATGTCCACAACACTCCCGAAGACTGTCCTCTGGAACTGTTTGGACATACATTCGAATCGAAATCGGTCTTCGAGTGAGAGATATGATAACAACAGTCCGCACATGTCATCACCGAATCGATCCAAAGAGTCTTTGGCATAGATTTGTGGCTAAATGTGAGACAAAAACAATTAATTTAATAAACAATTGATTTTATAGTAAATACCTGTTGAATGTCCTCTTCTTCGCTGTCATCTGTGGTCTCGAGTGATATCTTCTTGTGTTTCATGTGATGCGCCATATCTTAGGATCAAATAAAGTGATGAAATGAATGGTTTGGTTATGAATTCAAATACAAATCAAATGTAATTAACTTTTGAATCACTTTTTATTAAACATTAATTACGTCTCAAATATAGACTTCAAATGAATGTCTTTTATATAACTTTTTAATTCAATTATTCACTCGATTTGTGTTTTATTTACAAATTTATTTATTAAATGCCAAAAATTTATTTAATTTCTTAATTTTTTAATGAATTAAAAGCATAATATATTCTGCATTGCATTATATGTTTATAAATAGTTTGCAACACTTATAGCAAAAGTTGTCTGTATTGAGTGACAACGCATAAGAAATGAATACAATTATAAATACAATCAATATTTGGTATAATATTATAAACTAACTATTAATATAACCACAAATTATAAGAGACTTATTCTTATCTATATTAACAAAGTTTATGTTATATTAAACTAATGATAGATTTGTTATAACATTTGGCAAATCAAATGAATTGTATTAATAAATAACTAAACATTTGATTCATTTTTACTTTGAATAAAACTTCTTCTCATTGTTTACACGGATTTCAATGTTTTTAAGTCTAGGACTCGAAGAGAACAGATC